TGGCTGTCTTTCAAACTCGTCCATAAGTGCCTTGATGGTAGACACTATGCCCTACTTGACTTTTCATCCAGTGTCTAGCAAAATGTCTGGTATAAATCAGACATCAATACACATTTGATGAATAAATAATAAATGACATTCCTCCTGGGAATATAACATGCTTTTCAGTCAGCACATTCTAGTCTTCTTGGCATTCTCTTTTATTTCTCATTACACAGTAATCCATGACTGGATGTTAATATTTTGTTTACTAGTTTTTAGTGGGTTGATAAGCTTGATCGAATTCCTTGCAGTTTAAGAGAATGAATAAATCCATTTTATGGATTATGCAAATTTGGGAAGTAGGACCCTAATCACAAGAGGCAGAGGCCCAGTTACTTTCATTGTGTACCAACTTAACCAACATAGATAGTAAAAGTAATAATTTATGATGTCATCTCACAAATGTTGAATAAAAATATTTTCTTATTTTCTTGAGTGGTTTAAACCCTTAAAATTAAAATTTTAAATTATACTTTATTACATTTCATGTGGACATATAGTCTTCCTTTTAGCAATCACGTAAAGCCAAACAATAAGACAATAGACACTGTCACAATATAGAACAATATTTTAAACTACTTTTTATTTAATGTCCAAATTAGATTTGTCCTAATTGAATAATAATAAAAAACCTTTGACGGTAAGTTCTCATCTCTAATCTTTGTTGTTACAAAAATTGTCACTAAGTGAATTAACTATAATATTGTTAACATTTATTCTTATATCACATGGCTTAAAGAAACTACTCTGTTTTGAAATATTACTCATTTTTTTTTTGGTAACTATGTTCCTCTGGTCTTTCATTCCTATTAATATTCAACATGAAATATGATGTCTTTAAATACCAATAACTGTCCCAGTTCATCCATAATTCATAAATGCCTTTTTAACATGTAATCCATAGGTATTGGTATTGCCCATTGATTCTGGAATTCAAATGAGATAGAATAGTGGTAAGTAGCACCGGAAAATAACTGTCAGTTTCTGCAGTTTTATAAAAATCAGCTGTTTAGATGCAGTTTATATTAGCTCCATGTCAAGGAGGAAAAGCTATTAGAGGCACCCTGTGGATCCAAATTCCATTTTATTTATTTTCTTTACATTTTAACAATGTTTGATAAGGTAAAGCTCTTAAGAGATACTGTATCATTTTCAAGACAGGTTACTGAATCTTAAGAATAAACTAGTCCTACCTATGACAAATGCCATTCTCAAAAATGAATTTTAAAAATATTTACAGCTGTCAGTCCAAATATATGGCTGTGTTCATAGAAATAAGATTATGATTCCAAAGTGAAAAAACAAGGCATGGGTGAAATATCATGTCTTTCTTAAATTAATCAAAGAGCAGTTCTAAAGACAACAAAGAGGTATCCCTTTAAGGGTTAAGATGTTTTTATAAGGCTTTATTTACTTCTCCTAATAATGAATGAAGCTTTACCTCAAAGTAGATAAAAATATTTCACTTCTAGAAATGCCTCAAGAAATTTAATCCACTTCCATATTGCACATTATAATGTTAACAATGGCCAACTATATTTCAGATACATTCAAGCTAAAGAAATGCTTTTTCAGTTAGGACAATATCATGGCATGTTCTCTAAGATATGTTGATTAGGGGCGCCTGGGTGGCTCAGTCGTTAAGCGTCTGCCTTCGGCTCAGGTCATGATCCCAGGGTCCTGGGATCGAGCCCCGCATCGGGCTCCCTGCTCAGTGGAGAGCCTGCTTCTCCCTCTCCCACTCCCCCTGCTTGTGTTCTCTCTCTCTCTGTGTCTTTCTCTGTCAGATAAATAAATAAAATCTTTAAAAAAAAAAAAAAGGTATGTTGATTAATCAAATTCTGTAAATGGTAGGGCTAAAAATGATATTTGTATTTTATCCAAACTTTTAGTCTCACATTTTTTAAAATGCTGAGTGTATATGCTAAATAAGAGTTAGGAGAATATCTTGTGAAAAGTGTGGGATTTTCATCTCAGTGTGAGGGTGACAAACAAGAACACAGACTGCTCTCTTCCTCACTTACTCTGCTCTAGTCACTTATATCTGTTTCTGTCAGGGTTTGAACATGGAAAGAGAACCACCATGATTATTGCCAAACAAGTAATATATTTAACTTTAATAATTATGGGAGATGCTCAGGTTCATCCTTAAATAAGCCACACTCATCCCCACCAGAGTGTCTCTCCCTTTTTCTGAAATGTCTTTTCTCCTCATGGCTGGTTCATAAATTCATCCATGTCTCAACTAAAATGTCATCTCCTCAACAAAGCCTGTCTGGCCATCCTATCTAGTGAGGTATCCTCCATAATTCAGTATCCCCTTACTACACTTTACTTTTATTCACAGGTCTTATCATTTATTGACATTTTAAAATAAATTTAATAGAGGCACCTGGGCAGCACAGTCAGTTAAGCTTCCAGCTCTTGGTTTTGGCTCCAGTCGTGATCTCAGGGTCGTGGGATCAGGTCCCACATGGGCTCCTCGCTCAGCTCTCTCTCTCTCTCTAAAATGGGTAAATAAATCTTTTTAAAAAATAAAGTAAATTTAACAGGTAAGTTGTGCATTAATTATCTACAAGCTTGATGGGGGCAGCCATTTTGTTCACCTTGTTCACCATTGTTTTCCTATAACCAAGAATAGCATTTAGCGCATAAAAAGCACACACACACGCAAAAAAATAGTGGTTGAAGGAAAGAATGAATGAGTGACCAGGGTAGTAGTAATAGTGACAAAAAAAGTAAGATAGAGAAAAGAAACATTACAAAGCATGTTAAAACAGGATTCATTAAATCACTAGAAGAGGGGCGCCTGGGTGGCTCAGATGGTTAAGCGTCTGCCTTCGGCTCAGGTCATGATCCCAGGGTTCTGGGATCGAGTCCCGCATCAGGCTCCCTGCTAGGCGGGGAGCCTGCTTCTCTCCCTCTGCCTCTGCCTCTCTCTCTCTCTCTGACTTTCATGAATAAATAAAAAAAAAAATTTTAAATCACTAGAAAATAGAAGACATAAAAGGAAAGAATAAAGATGACATGGAGGGGGCACCTGGGTGGTTCAGACTGTTGAACGACTGCCTTCAGCTCAGGTCATGATCCCAGGGTCCTGGGATTGAGCCTGCATTGGGATTCCTGATCAGTGGGGAGCCTGCTTCTCTCTCTGTCCCTCTGCCCCTCCCCCTGCTTGTGTTGGCTCTCCCTCTCTCTCTGCCAAATGAATAAATAAAATCTTAAAAAAAAAAAAGATGGCATGGAGGAATCAGACCAAATGACAAAATGAATTTGTTTTCCATAAAATGCAAGGCCTTTTGTAATCTGGTCTATGCCTCTCTCTCAGTACTTCATCTCTTGTGAACCTGACCCCATGTGCTTTGCATTAGTCCAAGAGTAATTACAGTTCTTGGAAACACCAAGCTGCTTTTCTTGTGCTGTTCCTTATGCATGGAGGATCATTACTTATCATTCACCACATTGTTAGTAACAACCTATGCTCTAAATGATGTGCTTACTCTTCTCACAATGACCAACTACCTTGCCCAACAGGCAAACATGTCAGTTTTCAAATTCAAGTCCAGTATCACCTCCTGTTGAGAGGTTTTTCTATTGATAGCTGCCTTTCCCCTCAAGAGGAAGGGGACCCACTGGACCCTATTCAAACTCTATCATGGTGTCTTCACCAATGCCCCATCCTGAACTTGTTTACATCTGTTCTGACCAGCCAAGTGGGAGTTTCTTAGTGGTAAAGATGCCCTTTATTCATTGAATTAAGAGGATAGGGGAGAGAATATCAATTTTTAAATTAAAGGATGGATCTAGATTAGTCAGTTTGATTAGAACAAAAAAGGAGTTGTAGTAGAAATAACTATCAATCTAGTGCAGTAAATGTGTTGATTTATTTTCTAGGTAGTATACTGAGTATAGGGGATACAATGATGAATAAGATGAGATTTCTGTCCTTAGGAAGTGAAAAATCTATAAGAGAGCTATACCTGAAAATTAAAATTACAACATAGAGTTATGTACATGATATAAAATTGTATCCAAGTTTCATATGTTAAAATATATAGATTTGAGTTTTATAAATATAAAAGAAATAGTTGAATTTATGACATAGAATCAGATCACATCAAAAGCACATATACAAAGCAAATGCCAAACTAACACAGTTTCCATTGGGATTTCAAGACTTTAATCTTTCCTTAGATTCTACCACCTAGGTATCTCAGTAACACACAATCCAGTGAATAACTGATCAAAATGTAAATAACTAAAAAATGTATGACATGAGAAACTGACCAAAAGTGATAGAAAAAAATTTATCAAACAAAAAACTCAACTAATAGTCTAATGTATGCTCTGTCCACCTGTAAAAAATGCCCAAATGTTTTGACTGTTTTAATAATGTTCTCCTCTGCAACACTGCCCCCACCCCTCACCCTGTGCTGTAATGGATATTCAGGTTAGATCAGATCATCAATACTAATGTCCTTGAACATAATTGATAAAATAGCTTTGAAGTAATGCTCATGCAGTAAAAAATTTTCTGGTTGACTAAGGCTTTGAAAGGGTAAGAAGAGTATACACATATCATGGAGAGGGAGAAAGCCAAAATTATGTCATTGAGAGTAGAGAGGGCAAAATAAATGTTGGAACTTGCCTTTAAGAAATGTGGCACACATGTGAATGAAAGGAGAACCTTAACAATCTGAGGTGTCACTTGTCACACATATACACACACACTAGATTTGTATGAAATGTCATAAGATTTATGTGGATGTTTTCAAAAGCATATGAACAAGTTAAGGTAGTCCTAGGAAGATCAAATGACTGATTACTCACCAAGAGACCTCACATAAAGACAATAACTTGGTAATTTCACCATGTCCAGATGTTGGTCTCGAGAATTGCTAAATCTAGGTCTCCCCAGTACCATAAAGCTGAGAATGGCTTCTGAAAATGATACTCACAAGTGACAGAAGGGATAAGCTAGGACTCAGCTGACTTCCTCGACAGCTAGACCAGTACATAGAGTTTTCAGGCAGAATCTTCTCATGGCTGTGCATCTTGAAAAGAGAGGAATCAAAATAAGGAGAGTTAGTTATATAATTCAGATGGCTAATTGCATCATACTCTGGGACCTAGTCCTTCTAACTCTACAAGCGGATAGAATGACTCATTAACAACTTGGAGTTTCCCTCTACCGCCCTCTCTCCCTCTCCCTCTCTTTCCTCTCTGGAATTTATTTTGGCACTTCTTTCCTCTTTGATTAACCCATTCAGTCAAGACAATTTCTAATATGAGAACCATCTGCCTCTGCTCTTATTCAATTTGAGTTTTCCTATTTCTAAATTCTTGGAGGAAGGGGGGTGGATTGGAACTTACAATCACACATCTACCACCTACATTTTCTATAATGTCCCATGCTATTATATCAAGCTACTTTCAGATTTGTGATTTGTGTTCATACACAGAAGCAGATGGAAGTTTCTCCAGCTCCTTTACAGCCTTTTGAGAACATCCACATTTCCACTTGTAATGCTAAAGATACTCTGAACATCTTGTATGGGACATTGATCTGATTAGATCCTGATTCTGAAAGTATATAAACCAATAAGGAGAAATTAAATAAATATTGATGTAACCCTACTGATGTTAGTAAACTTCTCCCTTGCTAATCCTTTAGATAAAGATCATGGATAAAATCACCAATGACATCTTATACCACCAAAATTATACTTATGTAAAATAATCTGGGTATGTGAACAGATTTTAGGTTGAATTTTTCACAAAATTCAATTTTGTGTTCATTCGACTGTTTAAATAAATCCACATCATGTTAAATAATTCATCCCTCTCCGAATTTCTGCAGTAAATGCTTTCAGAATTGAAGAAGTTAGACATATAGGCATGTTCACAGGCTCACTGGTCAGAAAGACTACAAAAATAAAATTTTAACACAAAAAACACTAAATGTAAGTATTTCTTTCTTAAATTTAAACACTACTCCTGTATCATTAAATCATAAAATTATACTCTTTTACGTTTCTGTTTTTACACTTTACTTTTAAATTTAATGTTTTATTTGATCTTTTCCACAAAGAGAGTATAGTATCTCTACTTACAGAAAAGTAAACATACTCATAGATATTAAGTAATTTACCCAAAATGATTCAGCTAACAGGTAGCAGACCAAACTGAGGACTAAAACCAGAACCCATGGAAACTGAATCAAACTCTAAAGGAATTTTCAATATACCGATAACACAGTGTCGTTTGCCTCTCTTTATCAGAAAGAAAAGTTATTTTTTTTAAATGTGTCATTTAAATGTAGGAAAGGAGTTGAATCTACATTCTTCTCCTTAATCCTGTTTCAAATATATAATGCCAAAATTCCTTCTTATTTTATCTTCTGATCATGAAATAACCAGCAGTGAACCCTCCCTAGAATAATATTAAAGTATAAAAGAAGACATTATAGTGATAATATTATATATATATTATACTAAGGCCAGTGTTACCAGCAGAATAAAGACCCCAAATGGATGAAAAACAAGAACGTCTGCAATAAAACCCATGTTCTGAGCTCAATTCTGTGTTTTTAAAATTGCTGAGAGTTACAATGAGCTTACTATGAGCAAAAGGTCTTGTTACCTGTTCTTTTAGACCTAGGCTTGGAGTATCAAAAGTAAATAATGGCCTTGTAGTTTTCATGAAGCTTCTGCAACTCTCCCCCAAAGGCTACTGGTAATGACTTCTTGTCAAAAGGAATAGAAGAAACATTTTTTCAATTCCTCTGGAAGTAGTTCTGCATTGATTTCAGAGATGTAGTCATGCACCTGGCCAAGTTGGCAAGTGGACACTCAGTACCCTCCAGCTCTCTGAGGCAAATCAGAACCTTAAATTACAGCAGCAGCCCAAATGCTCTCTTGTTCCCTGCAGATTTTCTAGTATCACTATTGCAGCAATATAATTGATTTCACTGTCATAGATTTGGTGTGTTATGCTCAAATTATACACATAAACATAGTATCACTTATATCTTAACATTAAAATCTCTAATATGTATAAATGTATACGTAGTTGAATTCAGGCTTTCTGTTGTCAATGTTTTCTTGGGAAAAGTCATTCTTTGATTACAGAAAATTTTTATTCCAACAATCTATGACACCAGATGAAATCATTTCATTTTAGATCCTCTGACATTTTCAATTAACTGGTTAAAAATGGATTTGTGCAAATCTGGGTCCAGATGCTGGCCACTTCACTTACTGGCTATATAGATTTAGGAGCATTGATTAATATATCTAGGTCTCAGCAAGATGCTGGAAGAAACGATACACTTACTGGGAAATAATGGTAACACTCATTTTGTAGATTTGTTAAAGGATATGATCCATAAGAAGCACTTACAGTGTCAGGCATATAGTACATGCACAGTAAATGTTAGTTTTAGCTTAAATTAGTTCTATTAGTGATAGATATCTCAAATACATGTTAGCAATTATGATTCATAAGAATCATGAATCATCTCCCTTGTACAGTTTTTGTTGTTGTTGTTGTTTTTGCTGTTTCTTGATTTGTTCTGTTTGCTTAACATACATATTTGAGAGAGGTAATTTCCATTTAAGTTGTTTTGAAATGGAAAGAACTATTAACATAATAAATAAAAACTACTTTGCATGTAGGCTTACCCTTTAGTGTTAAAATAAATGTAGAAGACTGAAAATTAGTATCTCTGCAGTAAGATAAATAATTCATAATTGTCAATAGAAAAATAAACATTTTAAGAGGCTCCTGGGTGGCTCAGTCGGTTAAGCTTCTGCCTTCGACTCAGGTCATGATCCCAGGGTCCTGGGATCAAGTCCCGTGTCAGGCTCCTTGCTCAGCGGGGAGCCTGTTTCTCTCTCTGCCTGCCACTCTGCCTGCTCATGGTTTCTCTCTCTCTCTCTTTCTCTCCCTGACAAATAAATAAATAAAATCTCTATCTAAAAAAAAAGAAAAATAAACATTTTGAAACATCGTAAAGTAATACCCTATAATAGCAACAGCAGGTTTCTTTCCTCTCTCCGTATCTTCCCTGTGAAACACTTGATTTTCAGTTAAGATAATGATTATTGCTCATTTGGGTAGCTTATAGATTCTCCTCATCTAGGCTCCCAATACTTCCAAATGAGCTTTTAGAATGAAAAGTAGTTCTCTGGAGTCACCCAACACAGTTTGTCACCCATCCTGAGATAACATACAGTGAAGTCGGGAACTTCAGTGTATATTTGTGCAACTTTGTGCAACTTTCAGTCTTTCTATGAAGTATGGGCTACAGTGTCAGTAAGACCAGATCTGAATGACTTCTATGCCTTATAGTTAAAGAGAGAAAGATCTTTCCCATGGCCTAGACATGCACGTCCAATGTGATAGCCAGTAGCATTTGTTTCTATTTAAATTTGTCTTCATTCATTTAAATTAAATAAAAAAATTGAACGTATTTCTTCAGTTGTACTAGCTACATTTCATATGCTTAGTAGCCACAAATGGCCAGTGGCCACCACATTGGGTAACAAAAATATAGGCCATTTCCATCATTACAGAAAGTTCTATTGGTCAGCGCTGACCTCGACCTTAGAAGAACAAAAAGACAAGCAAAGCCTGAAGTCAAGTATTATATCCCATCTAGAGGGTATAATGAGAGGTAATCAACACTCACTTCTTATTCTTACATTTATTCATATAATTTCCTTCCCAAATTAGTCCTGATATCTTATTTGTTGTATTGTTATTTGTAACTTTATAGATGTAAGTCAATGAATGTCATTTCCACTTGTGGAAGAAGGACAATGATATGCTCCATGTATGGGTTGTTCAGAGTCAGAGGGAAATATTTGGTTATTTTATTTATATTTTACATCATGTTGATGGTAAAACTCTTTTTTACCCCTAGTATCTTTTTGGATATACTGTGGCTTCTCAAAACCCCACTGACTGAATTTCATTCCATTTGGGAATAATTTAAGATAGTATCACTATATAAAACTGCCTATTTAAAATTTCATTCCCCTGAATGTCCCTCTGATAGGTTCACAAGATTTCATTCCCAATGCTTAATATTAATATCTTGCCCTAGCCGGTCTCTTATTGTTACAGTTAAGAGAATCCATGGGCTGTAAGACTTTAGAGAAGAGTACATTTGAAAGATGCTGAACAGGGGCGCCTGGGTGGCTCAGTCGTTAAGCGTCTGTCTTCGGCTCAGGTCATGATCCCAGGGTCCTGGGATCGAGCCCCACATCAGGCTCCCTGCGCTGCAGGAAACCTGCTTATCCCTCTCCCACTCCCCCTGCTTGTGTTCCTTCTCTCTCTATCTCTCTTTGTCAAATAAATAAATCTTTAAAAAAAAGAAAAAAAGAAACATGCTGAACAATTGTCCCTCCCTAAATTCTGATGATAAAAGGCATCCTAGAGGAAGGGCTACATTAAATGTTCAGATGATATTCTGCTTGCCAAAGAGAGCCAGCTGTTTATACTCGGCAGCATACTGCAACAGAATTATCTCATTTGCAAATCTTGGAATATGGAGATGCAGATAAATGTTAGCACTATAAACCAGCAAATGTAGAATGAGCTGTATTCTTAGCATTTGGAGGAAGATTTCATATTTCATATTTGTACATATGGAGCTTTAAAAACTTATTCGTAAACATGCCATCTGAGCAACATGGCACATAAGGCATTTTTAATATGGCCAAAGCTGTATTAAGACACTCCTTATATAATGTTATACAAACAAATATCTTAACATTCTACTCATATAAAATGTTAATAAGGTGTTTAGCAGCAGAAACAAAAGTGTCTTCTGTGTTTTCATAATAAAATGAGTGTTTTCTGCCAATCAAGCATCATAGCTAAAGACAATATTACTCTCTCTTAGAGACAAAAGGTCACATCAGAATTTCTTTGGTAAGCTCACATGGTTCACACATTCACATCTAAGCCTTCACAAAAAAGTAAGTTCATCAGTCAAAAGGAAAAAGTGTATTCCTAAGAAATTTGTTTATGGGTCTGAAAAAAATGTCAAGAA